AAACTAACTGAATTGATTGTATTTGTATTATATTTTTAATGACTAAACCAAAAAGTGTTGAACCGAATGTTGAACTGGTGGATGTACCAATCATTTCCCGTGAAAATTATAAGAATTATAAAACTAACTAAAATAGAGTAATATTCCAAAGATATTATAATTATAAAATGTGTGAAAACATAAAATCAATAATCTAATGCTTATATGAATATTGCAACCAAAGTTGAACTCAAAATTTAGCAATTAAGTCACATTTTAGTTTAATCCATTTAAATATAAGATAAATTGGTTAAGGCAAAAAATTTAGTTAGGACCCTATCCCTAACAATATCTTCAACAGCCGCAACAAGCATGAATACTAATCTAAATCTAATTAATATCACATTCAAGTTGTCATCCTTCTCTAGTAAGAGCAACTCCCAATAAAAAGTATCAAGAAAACCAAGGAAAAAACTCTCAAAAAAGAGGTAGAAATCTCCGCAGGAGAGGGAAAAGCCCTCACAAAAGAGGAAAGAACTACTACCTTCAGCCATGCACTCTAATCAATGAGAAGGAGAGAGATAACAACGATTGGGGGGAAGAAGAAATCAAGAGAAATATGAGAAAATCAGGGCAGTGGTTAGTAATTATTTAATTTGATAGTTAATAATAATAATTATTAGGAAAATGATGTGTGCACACTTGGATTTAACACCCGGGTGTGCACACCTCCCATAAAAAAAAAAAAAGGATTTGGGTGCATACCATTTTTTTTTATGTGGGGGGTGCACAACCAGGTGTTGGATCTGGGTGTGCACCAATCATGATCCTAATTATTAATATGAAAAATGATTGGTATGCATTTCATTTAACACATTTTCTAACACTCATCCTGGTTCAATTATTAAGATATAATATAAGCACAATCAATTCAATTAGTTTATGTATCTTGTATGCATGGTTATTTTATTAAATTTATCTATTTTTAATTTTATACCAAAAAATAATAATTTTTTAATGAGTGTATTATATAGTGTATTGAATTAAAATGTATATAAATTATTGTCCTATTAATAATTCAAACAACAATCTTATACTTATAATGTCATGTAGAATGTGAGTTTATAGTAATAGTGTATCATAAATAAATGAATATATACAATATTAAAGAAATATTCGTTAATAAAAAGAGTTAGTCATATAATAATATGTCATAATTGTAAATTTCTGATAAGACATTGATACAAACACAATTTAATTCAATATATTTCATAACACAGTTATAAAAAATCATTATTTTTTGTTTTGGAATTAAAGACAACAAAACTTGAAAATACAGCCATGTATATATAATGGAAGAGCTAGTTAAAGTGACTACACTTATATTATAATTTATGGGTAGTATGTCGAAACAAAGGGTGTTCAAATTATTTTCTTTTATAATATTATGTGATATTGTTTGTAATTAAAACAATATTATTTACTCCCTTAATTCATTTTTAGAAGAACTTGTTTTTTTGTTTAGTAAAATAAAGATGCACAAATTCATTGATAAAATTTCATATTTATTTCTAATTAAACACCACTTAAATAAGACTTCTTATTTAATATATAAATAGTTATATGTTGTAATTATCTTTTGAAATAAAGGTAAAATAGAAATAAATGATATTCTAAAAATAAAAAATAGACAACTAAATTTAAACATCTCAAATAGAAAATTAGATCTCTTATAGTTTAATAGAAAGAGTATTAAATTAGATAAAATTGTTAATCCTTTAATTTTAAACTCGTATGCTGTTGTGAAAAAGGAGAAAGCCAAATCAAGGATGCTACACAAGTAAAAGCAAGTGCTCTATTATCTCAAAAAGACAAAAGAAAGCAAAAAGGAACCTCTTGCTTTAGCTAATGTGCTTGCAAAAATTTTACTTGAAAAGAGAGCATCAGCCGATCTAAATTTACAAAAATAAAAATGGACGAATTGAAGAGATTCAATTTTTGAGGTATAAATTTGAATTAAAAAAAACACGTATTTTGTCTTTTATATATATATGAAATAGAGAAATATATTAAATAATACGAAATTAGAGCAGAATCTCAATCTCTTTGCATTATATTCTAAAGACAAAATTAGAAGTATAACCTACAATACTAGTAACAGATTTAAACTATACTTATGACAGATATAGGCAATTAAGTAAAGAGAGTCATTTGCAACTAGATATTGTAATTACAACCGTTTTATGGGTTAAATATGACTACTAATGTAAAAAAGGAGAGTCACTCTGAGCATTAGAAGCTACTAAACACCCTCACCTATTTAACCAACTTCATGGGAAAGCAAGGGATTTCGACAACAAATAATCTCCAATTTGCAAGTTGTTGCCCTATCTATTCTTAAAGAATAACCAACATGAGGTACATGGTCCTCCTCCATACAAGCACAACGCACCCCACTCATGTCCATGTGCTCGCAACCATGTTCCATCTTGTCCAATCCTCTTCAAGC